ACACATAGCATCCCTTATATATAGCTTGTGACTGCCAGTGCTTGACAAGTTCAACATGCTAACTGAACTTAAAAAGAAACAAGACAATTTCTCAAAATTCTTAACGTAAGGAATTTAAAGACACGAAACCAAGGCAGGCTGAGGGACCAAGATAGCAACACATATGAAGGTCTAATCTCTCCATTGTTAGTCAAAGGTTACGCTAAATATCAGTGGTGTGCCCATTTGATTATTAAGAATGAAAAATACTTTGTAACGAATGTTTAATATATATATATATATATATATATATATATATATATATATATATATATATATATATATATATATATATAAATTATAGATAATATGTATATGTATATACATATATATATATATATATATATATATATATATATATATATATATATATATATATATAATATATATATATATATATATATATATATATATATATATATATATATATGTATACATATACATATATACATGTATGTATGTATATATACACTTCAGCTCTCTGGCTGGTAATTCACCAAATCCTAAAAAGTTAAACCATTAGTCTTTTCCCACCGCTACCTCAACAAAAAGTTCTTTCTACCCATTGTTGGCTTAACACAATATAAAGACAATCAAATTCACGCAATGATCATACATGTTAATACATCTTAGTTTGGACCACATAATTTATAGATAAAAGGATGAGCAGCAAGACTATGTTCTTAACAGGCAACCCAGGACTTGGTACATATAATTCTTAGATTTCATTAATATGGGTAAATGAGATTACAAAACAGGCAAACACTAACAAGGGCACCTACCCACACACACACACACACACACACACACACACACACACACACACACACACACACACACACACACACACACACACACACACACCTTAAATGTCTGACCATTCAAATGATTAATTTGATTGGAGTTTACATGATTAGATTGAAATTGACATGCGAAATACCAAAATAACTGGCATCTTCTGTTAGTGAAGCTACAAAGATTTCTGCATTTCGTAACTGCAGAATAACCCAATCTCATACTTCGGAATTTTCAGAAACGTGGTCAGCGAACAATTTGTATTATACCTATTTGCAAAAAGACCGACTAAAAAGATATCAACAATAAACCCTACAAAATATTAATTCACTGGATAAATATAAATCAAAGCCAACAGAAGAATGTACGAACACCAAACGGAGGAATTTACAAGCACCAAAGATGAGGCAAAGAATTTCCTGTTTCCTTTATATTTCCCAAACCTTTGTGAAACACATCGTGATCTTTTGAACGTGCATTTCTATGACAAATGATTATTGGGCAATAAACTATGGTAATACTGTCTGTTACAAAATAATTGTAGCAATTACAGTAAAAATACACACCTCATTTGCAAATTCAGAGTTTTCGTCTTCATCATTTTGTTAATACAGATACTATGAAACATTGTTGATATGCATTACAAAAATCTGAACATACATAAAACAACAGTAGCTGAAGATTTGGCAAAATAATAAATAACGAAAGATAAAAGAGTAAGAAACCATAAAGAATGCGCTTTTTACACTTTCTGTTATCAAACGCATTAGTTTCAACATTTCATTATGGCACCCTGTGATTATTAATATCACAATAGTCACTTTTACCAAATGCAGTAAATATGAATTAATAACTAATACTTCATGGAATATCATATGATCTTCCAGGACTATCCAACCACATATTTAATGACATACAAATTAGCATTCAGTTCCATTTTACACATGAAGAATCTATAAATTACTTTCTAGGAATGTCTCAATGTATCGTTTTCTAGAGTATGTTACACATCCCCATTCTAGATATACAAATACATATATAATCATTGTTACTACGACAACCATTCTCCCTGAAATACCATAGAAACTCCATTCACATTTTACAATCAGGATTACCTATACACTTGTATATGTCATCTCATTCAAAAAGAATCATAACATTGATTATTCAGCCCAATATCATAACATTGATTATTCAGCCCAATATGGACATAAACACTTACGGGGGACTTGGGATTCAAATGTATTTTCCATAAACTGTTATGGTTAAAGTAGAAAACCAGTGCTTTGACAATGAAGATGCAGGTAGGCCAGTGGGCAATAACCAAAAATTACAGATATTTGTAATAGTAACAAGAAATGGACCAAAAGAGTCAAAAATGACATATTACTTTATAGAATAATCTATACAAGGGAAAGCTATTATGCAGTTAGTTATTAGGAATGAGTGCAGTGGCCCTGGTGTCATTTACCAATGTTCTATTGTGAACAATTTCCAAACGGGTACTTTGAGAGTATATTGCAGGTATTCAGGTATGTGCCATAGAAGTAAGGGCAGAGGGAGTACAGTGAAAGAGTAAGATGAAACATTAAGATGGGTTTAAAATATGGGCCACTCAGGCTGTACAACTGAAAGTAACAAGCTGGTGAGGTCAGGCAGATGAAAGTGAAGTTAAATAAACATATAAAGCTATCTTTCATTAAGCTGGCAAGGTATCGGACAGGACTACTGTAGTATCAGTACAGTGAAGCAATTTGAAGCAAATTAGCTAAGATTAAAATAGGTTTTAAACATAACCAAAAAGGAGTAATAAGAGGCTAGAGCAACTAGTACATGAAATTTCATTGACTAATGTTCTTTTGATTTGTAATGTGAGCACTAGTCAGTAATGGTTTCAGTGTACCTTTAATGTAGTTGTGTGATGTATTTATGTACATGTTCTTAATATATTGGAATCTCAGTCTACATAGCTCTTCATTTTCTTGTTTTACTGGATATCTGACATCTGAGTGAATAAATTTGACAGGTATACATTTGTTAGGCTGGTATTTATGTACTGAAATGTTGACTAAATGAAATAACTAAAGGGTTAATTGTTCTGTAAATTACACTGTAAAATGTAAACTATCTGTAATTAAAGATTTCATAGTTTGAATATAACATGTCTGCATATTTAATCAAACCTAACCATATGCAACTCATATGTCTTTATATATAATCTCATCTGTTTTCAGGTGCAAAATCATCTCCTCAAGCAAAACTCATGCATGTTGGGCATAATTACTAATTTTCAGACGTAACTTTTACATCTCATATTGTCAAGTAAATACATGTTAACTCAGTGTATAATTTTTTTATCAATTTGTTTACTAAATTCTACTAGTTACTGTACCAAGGTTCAGAATATTTTTTTTTTTCAAAGGCTACTTTTGAAAGTAGAAAAAAAAAAAAAAAAAAAAAAAAAAAAAAAAAATCAGTACTTCTAAAGTTACAGGTAAAAGTAATTATAATAAAAATATAAATAATAAAAACCTTCCTCAAAATCAGTACCTTGAATATATAAATGAGTAGTTTCCTACCATTTACTGAACTTTTAATTAAATAACATGTATTTTCTGAAAATTTTATGTTATTATTAAATGTACACTGGTCTATATTACATGTAGGAATATAGTTTTGAAATAAGGGAAAATTTAATAAACTCCAGAAGTTAGATGTGCATTTATTTAATTCAAAAGCAATTCATCCCATACATTAAAATCATCAATCCAGCAACAGTTACTACTAAGGCAACTATTCCTTATTTGCAAACCACAGTCAATTCATGTGAAAGCCCTACTTACCTTAACAATTACATATTTATAAATCACCACTTTCATGCAGCATACTCAAGTGTTTTTAATGACAGACAGTGCATACTCAAAACAAACGCACCAACCTGAACCCATATGAAACCTCATGCAAACTATAGTAACTGTTATCATTGTATGTCCTGGAAATTCTAGAGTATAATGAACCATATTCATCGTAACAAATGTTGAAAAGATACAAACAAAAACAAATACCTTCGCAATACAAAAGATGTACTTAACTGGTTTCAAATAAATCTTTGTCTGTGGAAGATATATTTGAATCTCGTTATATACTTCACTTATATTGTAAAGATACTTGTTCTCTTTCATACATTTTCTACAAATCTAGAGTACAAGTGGCTTTCATTATAAACTACTTCTACACTAGTGTAAGAAATTATTGACCTTATATTCTATAGTGAACATTTTCAAATACTGAAGTGTTAAAAGGCACCTGTATAATATATTCACTAGACCCTGTGTGTGCGTGCGCGTGTGTGTGTGTGTGTGTGTGTGTGTGTGTGTGTGTGTGTGTGTGTGTGTGTGTGTGTGTGTGTGTGTGTGTGTATTCAGTAGTAAGAGAGTACAAGTAAGAGTGAGAGGGAAAGAGTAAGAGTAAGAGTAAGAATGAAAGTGAGAGTAACAGTAATTGTGAGTAAGAATGAAAGTGAGAGTAACAGTAATTGTGAGTAAGTGTGTGTGATAGAGTAAAAGTAAGCGTGAGAGCAAGAGTGAGTGAGTGAGTGAATAAATAAGTAAGTAAATAAGTAAGTAAGTAAGTGAGTGAGTGAGTGAGTGAGTGAGTGAGTGAGTGAGTGAGTGAATGAGTGTGTGAGTGAGACTGTGTGTGTGTGAGACTGTGTGTGTGTGAGACTGTGTGTGTGTGAGACTGTGTGTGTGTGTGTGTGTGTGTGCGTGTGCGTGTGTGTGTGTGTGCGTGTGTGTGCGTGTGTGTGCGTGTGCGTGTGCATATGCCTGTGATATCTACCCAATTTCAAAATTACTAACAAGCAAACATAAAGCATTAATCTTACTCCTGAGAAAGTACACATAGCATGTTATACCAAACAGGGAACGTCCCAAGACCCACACAGCTTGCAAATCGGCTTTTTGCATATCAGGAGAGGTAAATGGGAGGGGGGGCAGCTGGAGCAGTTTATGCATGAGCAGAATGGATGGCTGACGGGGAGAAACGGAAAAAGGCAGCTGGGATGTGAATGATACCATTGTCCAAATATTGTTATCTGAAACTGAAATTTACAACATTAAAAATGGGTCATATTGAATTAAAGGATATTTACATAAATCCAGTAGTCTCTTCAAATGGATTTATTTGTAATTAAACTGGAAATATAACTGTAGTACATTGATACAGATTTGTAGTGATTAGTCTGTGTCAATGACGAGAGGTTATTATACCATACATTAACTTTAATAGAAGTTGTGACATGGTTATCCGAAATGTAGATGTATAGATACTTTCTGAAAAATGCTAAATTGCTAAATATTGTTCTTTTCATTATATTGTTGTTGTTATCCAGTTGATACCTTATCTTAGTGTATACTTAAAGTGTAGTGTATACTTAAAGAAGACTTTACAAGTTATTACCATCAAGGAAGGTATTATTGGGCATACCTGATCTCACCTCAATACCCTAGTATTTGCATTTTCCGAGAGAAACATTTTCTCATCTATATTATCATCAATAACCAAATGAGAACATCAATATCATTAGCATTAACATTAATGACACTATATGTAAATGAATAATTAATCCAAATGATTCAAGAAATCAGGTGCATATTGTTAACAACTCTATGATTATTTATTAAAGCAACCTGTACTACTATAAATGGATGAAAAAATCCCCATGAATCATAATATCTACTTTACAGGTGAGGCCAAGGAACCAAGCAACTGTCCGTTTGAAGACTAAAATTTTTGAATAGTCTCATTACATAATTTGATAAGGAAAATTTATAAATCACGATTCAATGTCTTTCATATACAGTAGGTGTGAGCTGTTTAAAATGAGTAGTGCTTGTGTTACTTTCTTTTTTGCTTGTATAATTAAATTTTAGTAGTGCTCATATTACTTTCTGTATGAAATTAAGAAGACTTTTGAATTTCTTAAAGATTACTTAGTATATATAGCTTCAACTCATGTACTATATGTAATTGATATTCCTACAACTGTACTTATAGATTTTAAAAAAAGGTAGGTGGAGAAGAGTATATTGTGCAGGGCATTGCTCAGCCTAGGGTATATAAGCAGGTAAAGTTTGGTGATCAAATACTGCAGCAAAAGCCAAGTAGAAAATTAGCGGAAAGCTAAGAAGGAAAACAGGCAGGTCAAGAATATTTTTAACAATCAAACGGAGCATGAGAAAACCTGGTTAACACCTTCCAAGATGCTTTGCTGAGACATTAATCTCCTTAGACGTCATCTACTGTTTATGATACAAGTATGCTTTGACGTAATGTATCGTTAATGATAAAAGTATTTTCTTCTTATGATAAGGTTTAGGATGATTGGGGGCATAGGATAAGACGGCCTGCAGGTTGTCCATGCAAGTAAGGGAGGTGATTTGATGAATTGCTTCATAACCAGATGTTCCATTAGTACCAACACCAAGGCATCTTAGCGTGAATAACAATGATGTAATATTTAAATATAAAATAAAAAGAACTTACTAAGGGGTGGATATTGTTGCGCAACATGATAGAACTTAGTAAAATGCTTAATGTATAAAGATAATCAATTGATAGTAAACATATGAATTAAATAGAAGTGGTAGATTATATCAAGCACTCACACAATTCAACCCACTGCAGTATCCTTCAATCTCAGTGCACCCATTCTGCTGTCAGTATATGAAGCATGGAGAAATGCTGCTTTGCATGTCAAAAGATTTGTTTTGGCATATTTGTCATTTTTGAACAAGGAAAGTCTTTTCCACAACATACATACATATATGTTACATATATGTATATATGTATGTTACATATATGTATATATGTACTGTGTATACATATTATATATGTATATTAGTATACACTTCATATATATAGATATATATATTTTTTTTTTTCGCAAGATATACTGGTCCATTTGTATGTAGTTAACAGTTTAACTGTTTATAGTTTTTGGTTATTGGTCAAAGTATTTCGTCAATTTGTGGTTTAATCCTTATAATGGTGAACTGCCTTTTAGTAGTTGGTTTGCTCTTCTCATTTATATATACTTTTATTATTCACTTTTCCTTTTACTCATTCGCTTTACCTTCTTTTATCATTCAAGAAAAAGGGTAAAAAAGGAGAAGTTATATTCGTTAGTCACCCCCACTTCAACCGGGTAATAGAAAACGTAGTCTTCCGCCATTTTGTGTGACTGTTTGCTCCGCTATTTAGGGCACGCTAATTGTTTTAATACTTTGTAAAATACCAATTCATTCCTCTTAATTACAAGACAACTGGATAGTTGGGTTTTCTTTGGTTTACCAATTCCTGTCTTGGTATATGTATACCTCCATATACCATTGTCTTGGTATATGTATACCTTCATAAACCATTTTTATAGATAACATTTTTTATATTTTAGATACCTAATTGTGATCACAATAAGGAATTTACCACCGTTACTTGTAGTTTCAGGGTAAAATAATTTTGATTGTTCCGGAGTGCTGCCTTTGCATAATTCTCATACGTAACCATTTTAAGGCTGATCAGCCATCGAAAATTTGTTTCGGTTACTTGTTAATCTCCGTAATTACACTTTCTCTTCCGCTAAATCAAGCCAATGAGTTCATAAATGGCTATAATCATAATGCAGTAGAAATAACCATCTATATCAAATGCCCATGTATAGCACTTCAATTCATACTGGCCAGTATGGTATCGTCACTGCCCTTCGTATGTACAAGGCATGAAAAATAGCGAATCCAATTTCTTTTGAGTCCCTCCTCCACGCAGCATGAAACCTCCTCCACGCAGCATGAAAGAAAACGGACATCGAGAACACTCGCCCACGCCATCATGCATCCTCATCACACCTTCATAGAAAACGTACATCGAGAACATTCTGGGATTATCATACACCTGCAACAACCTTCGTACCAAATGAAACAACCAACAGAAACCGTTTTATTCATACAAACTACCTTTACTGTGTTCCAATTTAAGAATGCTAAAGAGAAGAAAAATAAAGGAAACTCGCCAATGTAATTAACAGTAGGATCTTCTGATTTACCTGTCCCAACACGGGCAAATGTTGCATATATTTTCCTACCCTTGCAACACCTGCCACATGTCAGCCACACTTATCTATCAGGAAGGCAGGTAAGAGGACCCGTTTCTAACAAAGGTGATAGATGTTCATCTGGCAACCCTGAGAAGTAAAATTGAGGTTTAAAAAGTAAGTTCAACGGTAAAGTTTTTTTTTTTTTTTTTTTTTTAGAGAGAGTACGTATTTTGTAGTCTAATTTTGTTAGTTCTACCTTTTTTTTATGCTCTCTTTTTTTTTTCTTACGTGCTAATGTGAAGCAAATATCGCTCTTTTTTATACTCATTTCACACTTTTCAAACAAACATATATTGTATTTGTAGCGGTGGTTCGTCTACATCTACCAAAGTACCGAGTCTCGCTTTTATATTTAAATAAATATATAAGAAAAGAAAGAAGTAAAATGGAATATGTAATTCACTTTATATCAATTCCACTTTCTTGCAATCTCACTGTCATATCACGGAACTGTAATTGCAACATCGCACAAACAAGCACCGTGACATCAAGAAATGCAAACTCTCAAGCTTTCAATATTTTTTTTTTCCAACACATATGGTTTTAAAAAAAAGAAAAGCATAGCATATGTGAAGCCATTTGAGGAAAAAAAATAAGAAGTGTGTATATATAGAGAAAAATATATATATAAATACCTAAATTTTTTTCTCTCTCATTTCACATCCGGTACATTATAGAGGTATGTGTAGGCCTATCCACCGAATACAAACTAAATTACTAAGAAAAAAAAAATCGTACAAAAAGGGAAAGAAAAAAATCTGTACTTACCTCAGGGTGTCCGGCTGTCCGGCTGGCTTCACCCCGCGCCGTCACCCGCCACGTGTTCCTTCTCTTCTTCCTTTCTCCATCCTCTCCTTTCACCCGCACGTCGTCGCTCGTTCTTCGCCATTTCCCGCTTCGATTCCTTTTCCCTATGAGTCACTATAGATGAACTTTCCGACTATAGAATGTATATATGGGTGTTGATTGAAGAACGTCGCGTAGCTTCGCCGTCCGCCGCTGGAGCCCAAATGCGTCACTGGGTGCACGCCACGGCCTTAAATAGGTACGGGTATTGCGCAGTGGCGAATGTTCTAGAAGATGTGACCCTCCGCATGCACTCACATGCAGGATATTGCGGGTGGTTATGAGATGTGTTCTAGAGGGCTGATTTGATGTAGATTCTATTGCAAAGAAATGCGATGAAACTATTTTAAGAAATGGAAATCG